TACCTATTGACAAGTATATAACCTATTGACTAGGTATATCACATGAGACTAGTTTCTTGTTAAATGTGTAATCTATTTAGGCTTTGCAGCTCAGAAAATTAAGTTGAACTATGTAACGCAGTTTCATTCATTCTCAATCTAATGTGTCTGTTTTGTTTTTACCTAGGTGTTATTTACTGCTTTCTTTTGCAGACTCTGACAGTAACCTGTTGCATGAATAGAGGCAGGACCTGGTACCTTGGGTACTCTTGGCCAACTCTTAGAGTTATTTATTTGGATTACTGACTGGCCCTATTCTGTTATTTTTACTTTCTTTTTGCCTATTTTTAACCTAACCTTTTTATTTTTTTTNTTTTTTTTCAAATCCTTTCTTAATTCTTCTATTTTTATTAAGTTTTAAGTGTTTATTTCCCTACCTTGCGTGTTGTGACTTAAAGTGATTTTAGTTTAATCCATTGTACCAGGTTTTTATAGTAACCAAATCTAGGACAAAATTTGCACCTTGCCTTACTGACACCTCATTACTTTCCGAACTTAACTGATTTTTGTAGAGGTCACAATCTTGAATATTACTATTATATTAAATCTTGATATAATAAAGTCCTGAAATCTAGAATTTTAATTAGTAGTTGATAGTAAGCAATATATTGAATTTGACTTCAGTGATTCTTAGCTTGAACTTTTCTTCTCAGTCATAGTCGGTAATCAATGTCTAATTTTCTCTCCCAAGCCTGCTTTTTAAAAAATATCTTAAACAAATTTAAAGTTTCTATCAGAATATTTATTTTTGTTTGAAACTAGCACCATAACTACCTGTTGAAGTCTCTTCACAGAGAATATATTGCCTTTAATATGAAATAATTTTCACCAATGTTGTTAAATTTGATAGACTTTGTGGAATATTCAATTAAGTACTTGGTAACACTTTCCTGTTTTAGGAAAACTTAATGCATGTTTATTTTTATTGAAAGATGCAGAGAGTCTTTTTGAACATGAATTGGGAGCTCTTAACATGGCTGCATTACTACGAAAAGAAGAAAGAGCAAGTCTTCTTAGTAATCTTGGACCATGCTGTAAAGCATTATGCTTCAGACGGGATTCTGCAATCCGAAAGCAACTTGTTAAAAATGAGAAGGTATTGTTACTTCCTTGGAAGAACTGCAAAGTGAAGGACCCTTCATAGGAATAGTGTTTATGAGAACATACCAAGTTGGAAGAGAGGGAAATAAGTGAAAATGATTATAAGAATTTACTTGAAAAGAATAAAGGGAATTGAAAAGTAAGAGAAATAGAAATTAGTTTAGACTTAGAAGAAATCTGATGATGAAAAATTGAAAACATCTTAGGATTTTCAAGTTAGAAAACTGGAATCTATTTTGGGCCTGGGTGTGATGGGCATGAGTAGTATGACAAAAGAGTTGGTCCTAAAACATTAAAGAAATATTGACTTATTATCTTTTACTTGGGGGCAGTTAAGAAAACATAGAATTATCTTTGGATATATAATATTGCTAAAGAAGAGAATATTAAAGAAAAATACTCTGATAGGAGATTGTATTAAATTTATAAAAAAA